GGGAGTAGAAAACGAAAAACACTTTCTAGTTTGGTGTCCACTATATGACTCTCATAGAAACGACTTAAGAGAGTTCATAGAAAAAAACACCAGCATTAATTTCAACAATATGAGCGCTGACAGTCGTTTTATGTTCTTAATCAATTCAAAATCAGCACTCGTGTACTATTAGTATAAGGTGCCAAATAAAATTGTATTGTATTGTATTGTATTGTATTGCCCGGACTTAGATCAACCCAGAGGTTGTTTCAAGGCCTCGATAATATTTAAAAATTTGAAGGCTTCAATTGCAGAAGGTAGAAAATATTAATATGTGATCACCAGGTTTTGATTGCCAAAAAATATCAGTATAGCTTGTGTATACTAATTTGTAACTGGAGGAAAACTTGCCAACGGTCTTTGACTTTATTAGCGGCTTAACTTCACCGAAATTAAACTTTCAAAGATCAAAGACCCAGAATGCGGGGATCAAAAAGAACGAAAATATTTTCATAGAGGTATGTCAGTAGCTAATAAAAAGTGTTTGAATTACAATGACACGACGATGGAACTTCTCTGSAGAGAAGACAGTAGAGCCGGATATGATTTGTAGGACGAGAATTTTCACAAAACCGCTTCTTTGTGAAGCTAGTCTGTAGCTTTCAAAGGCCAGTCAGTCTAGCCTAACACTATCATATTGTCATAGCTGTAATAAATCAACATCAATTGTTTTACGCTTTTCGTTTATGCTATAAATGAAATTAAAATTGAACGCACACTGCTGCTGGAGATATTAGACTTGTTTTTCGCTACGAGTACCACTTATACTTATAGATATTGAACTTGTTTTGTCGTGCTTCCAGCTCTTAATTACTTTGCGTCTGTGGAAGGAAAAACCCAATATATTGAATTTGTTTACTGTATTTTTTCAGATATAATATGAAAAAGAGGCCTTTTTCCAGCAGCTTTTTTGCCAATAGTTTAAATCGTTTAAGATTTTCATGAATGAAATGAGAAATTTTCCGATGTGCGGTCGTTCGCCAACTAGAATCTCCCCCGCACGGCTTACATTTAAGAATAATCCAGTCGGTACAACATCCATTCTAAATTAAAGGATTATAGTCTCGAGGACAACATATTGCACACATCGCAATATAATCTGTACGGTTTGATTGCTTAAATAAAGGGACTGGATTATTCTACATAGTTACAGGGTTTTAACACGAATCAAAATATGGTCTTGGAACAGTAGGCTGAGCGAAGACACGATTATAACCCAATTTCATTGGTAGATACGAGAACGCTTCCAACAGGCCCTTTGCAGCTAGTGGTCACGTGCTTGGATACCGCTTAGCAACGCAAAACTGGACAGCAAGCCTTCCAGTAAACAAAAGCTCGTAAGAGGTCAAACACGCGTGGTTTTATACAATAGTTTCACCGTTCAAAACGCTAATCCTTTTGCCCTATCTACAAAAACAGTAAGATAATCGTAAGAGCATTATTTCTTACTGCAGCGCGTGATCGACGAACATGCGCAATAAGAAATAAGGGCTCTGAGAACAAGATTGAAGACAACTTCTGTGAAGCATCTCGGTAGTATTAGTCAAATGCCATCATGGAAATTGCGTATTCGGCAAAACTCGGATCTTTTCGGAAAGTTCTGATACTTCGCTATACTCAGCGACAAAGAGCGCATGCGCTTTATATCCCAGAGGGAGATTTGTGAACAAAAGAACAAAAAAGCGAAAGAACAAAAAGCAAAACAAAACAACAACAACAACAAAAAATAGCCCGAGTAATAAAATATTATAATAAATACACACCGTACCGTATGGATAGACCAACAACAACAACAACAACAACAACAACAACAAAAAAGACAGCTCTGACAAGTTGCTAAGCGATGCTACAAAACCTGAGCATGCAAAATACTCCGGGAAAATACTTTTCAATATCCTGGATTTGATGCTTGAACTAATTGCTTAAGGTCCATTAAACGATTTTCGATTGAATTTAAATTACATGTAACTTTATTTGACGACCTATCAGCGCCCTTCAGTGACAACAGACAAGTAGTTCTTATTAGCATCTATTGTTAAAGTGTATATGACACGAAAACATTCCATCATTTAAAATGTATAGTTTGTTAGTAATAATAAATATATCGTAACAAAATTTGTTTCAAAA